TAAGAAGTTCCACAGTGCTAATCTAGACTTAAAAAGATGTCCACACTTTGTTTTCTTTAAGTGTATTACTCAGGGTTAGTTGATAGTGACAGCAAAATGCTTTCTAAGCACCCTGTCTAGGAGCTGCAATTTCCACGATCATCATATTTCAGGAAGGTGCCCCAGTCTTTTGTTCGGTGCTAGGCAAGCAGAAGGTCCTCTAGCTGTCTTTCCAAGGGGTAAAAAATGCAAAGGAGTTTGTTAAAGTGAGAGTGAGCCCTTCAGTCAGGCTGTATCACTGCGTGTTGGTGAAATCTGTTTTTTTTTCTTGTTGGAGGTTTGATTTACTTGCAGAAAACWTGCTCCCACTTCTTGTGCAGCAGGAATAATACTGCTTGTGTCTTATGTCTAACTCAAGTGTCTTAAAAAATGCAAATTTTTATATGATCTTCCCGCAAATGCAAGTAAATCTGACTTAGAAATGAATGCTGAGTAAAAGCYTGACTCCACACCTACGATCAGCCAAACCAGTATTTGCTGTAGAGGATGGAAATGAACTAAGAGTGGGTCTCTTCTGAAGTTTACTTCTAAAACCTTTCCTAGTTTTGAAGATGCTGGGTTGAAAAGACCCAGACTATTACTCTATTCCTTCTCACTCTCTTGTTTTGACTGCTCTGCTGCAGCAAAGGTTGCATGTTAAGAAAACACTTTGAGGGAGAGTCCTTTGCAATGGAGTTTTATTCTGTGTTTTAGTGCTCTTTGAGTTTAGCCAATTATGGCTTCTAAGTTTTCTTTTGAGTGCTGCTGCTGAGGTAACTTGCCCGGGCATTAAATAAAAGAGTAGAGAACAAATGCTGCCATTGTTTCAAGGGGGAAAAAAAATCTATTTTTCCCCTCTTGACAGGTTTAGGTAGAATTATRCCTGATAGGAAGTTTCTGGCACAAAACTCCAGACATGTAAAAACATTACTAAACACTAGATGAAGTTTCAGTAGTTTAGTTTCTTTCCTTTTTAAAGCAGTTGTTTGCTCATCTCCTGATTACTAAATTTGCTCCTGAAAAAATTGGAAAAAATGTGAAGCTGTAAGAATGTTTGGATTCTTACAGCTCATGAAAGGCAGAAGAGAGTTAGTGAYGACATAAGATATTTACTGAACACTTTTCAAGATTCCTGCCCTAAGTGGTATTTGGCTGCTTATTAAAAATAAATGTAAGCAATCACATATTAATTCTTCTGTGCATTCCTGTGCTTTGAAGTGATTAAGGAAAAAASTTGAGAGCTAACTAGCCATTAGCATCCATGCTTCCTGCTACAAGGAGACAAAGATGGCCATCTCCCAACTGAAGCCACTTCAAATAACTGCAACTGCAAACTTGGTAAACTCCAGCAATTGCTTTGATTAGTCACCAGTGCCTTACACAATATCTGACAACTTTTAGCTACTGGTGACAGAGAAAAATTGAAAAAAAAACCCCAGCAAACACAAAAACCCCCAACCCAGAAACTCCTCTTTATTTTGTTCTTGCTGTATAATGTATCCACTTTATTTCTGGAGATCAAAGCTCGCTGTGAGTTTACTACAGAGTTTTTTGCCCACTGGGGGGTGGTACATGCTACAAAACCTGTGCTTTTAAGAGCCACAAGTCAGATTTTTTTTGCTGCTGTCCAGTTTTCTCTGCTTTAATTACAACAAAGTCTCCTGTTGAGAAAAACAGAGGCAGSCTCCAAAGGAGGGAGTTTAAAAAAAATTAAATAAATCACTTTCAGAGAGTTTACAGAATTTCCCATGCTGATTACTTGCAGTATTTATCTGGTTGTTCTCCAGTTAAAATGGTGTAAGTGTACCAAAAAAAAAAAAAAAAAGGAAGAAAGAGAATTAGCATTTTAAATATGTGCCAAGGGCTGTCACTGTTTCTGGTATACAGGAGGAGCACAGAAGACAGAAAAAATACAGCTTTTAAAAGTGAATAAATGTGGATGGAAAAATAAAAAAGCTTGATAGCAGCATGAATRGAAGGATTAGAATAACCACAGTATATTTTAAGATAATTGGCTTTCTGTAAACCCAAGTATACCTTTTGTTTATGAAATATTTGAAACTCTATCTTGAACAGGGCTGTATTGTARGGTTTTGGAATAAATTAAAGAAAACTTGAAGGTGGGATTTCTTTTGAGGGAGGGAAGGGCACTGAAACCTCTTAGAATGATCTAATTTGTGGCATATATTGACAAGGAAAACACACACTGATCTTCGTGTTTTATAGCAAATAATTCTTTTCRTTATACACTTGAATTGACAAATGCATTTTTCAGTCTAATTCAARGAAATGTTCATTAAGACGCCATATCCCCAGGCAGTAGATGGTGAGCATAACTGATGCTTCTATCTTTTTGGGCAGTATATTTTAGACAAGGAAATTGGGGTCAGGATAATGAACTGTTTTTTTAAAGTCTGAACATTTTCAGCCTCTTTGGATACTTTTTCTTTGTATAAATGATTTATATGGAAATGCAAAATATGAATCTTCTTGTTTTGAAGAGGCAAATAGAAAATGCATTCAGATGATGTGCAGGAATAAGATTTAATTGTAAAATAATCCTGCCTTTTTGGTGTGAATTTGCTGTAGAAAATACTCCACTGTACTGTTAACTCTCCAGAATTGATCCCTTGCAGAAGAGAAGCGACTTGCCTTCTGCTCAAATTAATAATCCAYTGGTAACTGCATTCCATGAATTAGTTCATTACATACACTCGTCCTTGCGTTTGCAACACTCCTCCCAACTTTGCCTGGATGTGCCAGGGTTGAGCTCAAACCCCTCTGCGGTCAGAGAGATTAAAACTGAGGCGACCTGAGCCTCAATTGAGCAGGACTGAGCCAGAAAGGCAGCTGTCTGTGCAAGAGCTGAGCTTTTATTCACCAAGGGGATGAGCTTGGAAACTAAGCAGGAACAAAAAAAAAAAAAAAGAACCAACCAACCCCAAAATAAGAAAGCTGTGCCTGGGTGCTGTGTGAGCTACGGCAGATGCTGGGAAGCAGAAACGCTGCGCTGGGAAATGCAGGGAAATTCGGGCTTTACGTGATCAACTAAGTTGCAGCTCCTAATTGCATTTGAGGAAAGGGGTTAAAACAAAAGGGTCTGGCACATCCAGCAGTCACGAAACGGTTTTTGGGGTCAGAATCACGTAGAGATGAGGTGTGCAACGAAGTACGTGGTGAACTATTTATTTGCAAGCCATCTATAAATGAATTAGCTGCGCCTGTACGAGGGCAGACAATCACTTAATACATTGAAAACAGCTGAAAAGTTGATTAGAACTAGGCGAGGACCTATGGAGTGGCAGGAGGATTATCAGACAGCTCTTCTTCCCAAAGAAAGTGGGGCGTCGGGGCGGGAATTCGGGCCTGTTGCATTCTTTCTGTGCAACCATTTTGTTGCCCATCTCCTCGCCCGCAGACTTTGTGGTGCGGGGGGCAGCGCTGCGCAGGGGCGCGAACGCATCGCCTCTGCTTTTTTTTTTTTTTTTTTTTTTTTTTCTAAATAGATGCAGCAAGAAGGGATGGAGGGAGGGGGAAGTTTTCCAGCCGTGGGAGCGATGCGGGGTACGGGCAGGAGCACCCCCCGCCATCCGCGTTCAAACGGTCCCAGCGCTGCGGGGCGCGGGCGCCGGTCCGCGGGTCCCCCCGCGCCGCTCTCCGCCCCCGCGCAAGGCGGCTTTGCGCTGGCTCCCTCTCCCGGAGCCGGGCCGGCGCAGGCACCGCACGCTGAGCTCGGGTGCGCTCCAAATGTGCGGGCTGAGCCCTCCGCTCTGCTCCGCGCCCCGCCGCGTAMCCCCCCGGGAGGGCAGGCGGGCGCTCCCCGCCGCAGCGCCGTGCCCGCACCCCGGCGCTGGGAAGCGGGTGGTGCTGCGGGGAGCGCAAACTTCCCTCGGCATCCCTGTCCTCCGCCTCTGCACGCCGCGACCCGCGCAAGTCCCGCGGAGGAGCAAAAGCGCTTATCCCGCGCTTACCTGCAGAGAGGCGCGGGAAGGGGCGCTGTGGACGGCGGTGCCGGGCAGCGGCCGGGCCGGGAGCGGAGCGGAGCGCGGTGCGGTGCGGAGTGGGCGCTGCGCTGTCGCGGGGCGGCCGCGGACGGAGCTCGACGCGCGCCCCTCAAGTCGCAGCGGCGGAGCCGCGGGGGCGGGGCCGCGCGTCACGGGGGGCGGGGCGGGCGGCAGGGGCGTGGCGCGGGGCGGCCGCCAGGGGGCGCAGCAGGCGGCGGCGCGGCCCCGTGTGGAGGGGGCAGCGGGCGGGCGGACGGGGCGGCTCGGCCCTCACGGGGGTTTTTAAAGTTATTTCTTTAACATTTCTTCCCGTGGAGTAGAAGCGGTGGTGCCGCTGGCGGCCGTGCGGGACGCGAGGTGGTTCCCCTTCACCCCCCAGTTCATCCCCTAGTTCATCCTCTATTTCATACCCCGGTGCCTGGTTTTGGGCTGGGCAGGTGATCCCGGTTCCCCGGCTTAGGGTTCAAGAGCCAGGACAAGCCGTGAGTTACGCGAAGACGCTTTAAAAAAAAGATTTTAAATACACAAATTATTAAATGTCCTCAGACCTTATCGCCACATGGCTGTGAGCGTCGTCACTCCCCTGGCGTGTCCCTGGCTGTGGAACTTGGTGTAGGGCGTTGCAGGCTACGGCAGCTTTGGAAGATTTAAGGGTTTTCCCGAGGTGATTCCTTTTGGAGCCATGGAGTGCATACGAGCTGCCTAGTTTCTGCTCCACCCGGCACGGTTCCTGCGAAGGCATTCACCGGGAGATAGCGGGAGATAACTTATCGTGCCCGGCGAGATTGAGGTTGAGGGGAATTGTGGCCTGGCCAGGCTGCAATCCTTAGGGATTTTTCCTAAAGTTTTTGCTTTTCTAA